TCACAGCTCAAAATAACGTGAGCGACAATGTTAAGAAGATGATAGGCAACGTGTTAGCTGTTAATGGGATATTTCTGAAGAAAGAGAATTACGGAGAACAAGAGATGAACGACGAACATGGTTTTCCGAGTTGGTTTTCTCGGCATGACAGAAGGTTGTTGAACTTCAGGCATTCTTCAGTGAAGGCACATCTTGTGGTGGCTCAAGATGGTACTGGCCATTTTAAGACGGTGCAAGCCGCCATTGATGCAGCATCAAGAAGAACAGTGAAGACAAGGTTTGTGATACGTGTGAAGAGAGGCATTTATGAAGAGAATATTGAAGTTGATAAGGATAATGAAAATCTCATGATTGTTGGAGATGGATCGAGGGTTACCATTATAACTGGTAGTAGAAGCGCTAAAGATGGAATCACCCCTTCCACGTCTGCAACAGCAGGTTAGTTATTTAATTTATTTCAGATGTTTCTTTCAAATTTAAATTAAACCTTCTTGTTGAGTATTTAATTTATTTAATTACATGCCTTGCTAATTTGCATTTTAAAAAATTCAATTTTAAAGAATGAGTATAATAACGAACAAGTCATGCGATTTGCAATGTTTAAATAGTGCAATTTGTTGTAGATTTTACTATCCATACTAATACATTGACATGTTGATGACTTTGATTTATTTTCAATGACTAAGGGCACTTTTTCCATAAATTTATAAAATTATTATTACAATCAATTACCAAAATATTCCTTCCACTTCTTAATATAAGGTAGAAATTTAAAAGCTTTTTATCCTTAATATAAGGCAAAGTTAGAATAATTAATCATTTTTTTCAATTTTATCTTTGTTTATTATGATTTGAATTTCTAGACAATAATTTATTATAAATATTAAAGGAAAAAATATCAAACTGAAAAAGTTAAATATTTTTTAACAATTTTAATGAACTATTCTTGTTCTAATATTACCATTTCCTCCTTATTATATTCTATTTCACTCTATTCATGTTTCAAAAATAAAGTTATATTAAATTAAGAGTATTTAAGAAAATTTACATGTGTTTTCAAAAATTAAATTGTAAAGTATATTTAGTAAATCTTACGGACGTACATAATTTTCTCCAAAAAGAATCGTATAAACTGGGATTGAATAGAGTGTAAAAGCACCAACTCACTTAGCTTTTACATTATAAAATTTCAGGTATAGATGGAGCTTACTTCATTGCAAGAGACATCACTTTTAGAAACACAGCCGGTCCTGAAAAAGGCCAAGCTGTGGCGCTCCGATCAGCCTCCGATCTCTCGGTCTTCTACCGTTGCTCCATCGAAGGCTATCAAGACACACTAATGGCTCATGCACAGCGTCAATTCTACAGAGACTGTCGAATTTTCGGCACAGTGGATTTCATTTGGGGCAATGCCGCAGTTGTTCTACAAAATTGCAGAATTCTCGTAAGAAGGCCACTTCAAGGCCAAGCAAACATGATCACAGCTCAAGGACGAGGCGACCCGTTTCAAAACACTGGAATATCGATAATCAATTCTCAGATTCGAGCCGCGCCTGATCTCCGGCCGGTTTTGCACTCATTTCAAACCTATTTGGGTAGGCCATGGCAGCAATATGCAAGAGTGGTTGTCATGAATACGTACATTGAAAGCTTGGTGGACCCTAAGGGCTGGTCTTCATGGGGTGATGATGGTGATTTTGCTCAAGATACGTGTTATCTTGGGGAATATAAGAACTTTGGGGCCGGTTCATCAACAAAAGATCGGGTTCAATGGCCTGGGTTTCATGCCATAACCGGCTCAAATGAGGCACACCGCTTCACTGTTGCTGGACTCCTTCAAGGTGATAAATGGTTGACTCGCACTGGGTGCCTTTTCGTATTGGTGTTTAGTTTAATCTTTTGTCTTCCTTTAGGGAAATTATATGTATTGCTCATTATATATATTATATATATATTCTTTTGTCAGTTTCATTTGGGAAATCATTGGTATTGTAATTTACGTGAAGATCATATACAATGTTCTTTGAGGGAATATTGATGCTTAATAAACATGTACTAGATTTATTTTTTATGTTGCTGTCTTGTACTCCGTACGATCCCTCTTACAAGGCACCTCTAATGGAAAGCGATTAAGTCATTAACTTTACTTTGTATGAAAATAAATAAACTTTCAATTTTATTCATATTTAAATGAAAAATTTTTAAATTTGAATTACATTATCTCTCATAATTAATAATTTTAAATATGGGTAATATTAAAAAAGTATAACTATCTCATTAAAGTCCTCATTAACCACAGGCAAATATATAAATTCATGTAATATTTCTGATTTTCTTGTTGAATGCTCCCTCCATTTCTATTTGTAAGATAAACTATTACTTTTTACTTTTTTTATTTAAACAAAATCATTTATTTTAATAAGCATTTATTACAAATTTCTTAAATCACCCTTCATAACTTATATTAACAAGGAATAGTTAATGCATGTTCATGTTGATTAATATATGGTATTTTAGTTTAAATTTTTTATTTTTAAATATAATTATTGTAGTTAATCAACTTTCTTAAATTGTATGATATAATTTATATATATATATATATATATAGAGGAGGGAGTATATTTGTTTATTGGTCAGTCTTTCGCTGGCTAACTTCCTTTTACAAAATAATATGATGTGATGTGATTCAGATAATAGATAGACGTGCCACAAACTAATATTTTATACTCAATTTAAATTATATGGAGACATGTTAGCTTTTGTAATAAGTGATATTGAAAATTTTAAAATTTAAATGTCCTGGCTGTACGTGTGCCTCAATTCCAGTTTATCTGCAATCTTATCAGTGTGCAATTTATTTTATTTTATTTAGCCGACACATATCCTTCTTCACACTCTTCTATATTCAATAAAACACAAGGTTGTTAGAAAGAACCATACCAAAACAAAATGTCATCAACCATTATCAGAGTTAAATAGCTTTTTTTAAAAAAAATAGTTAACTCTAAATACAATCATTCAAATTTCAAATATCGTATCAGAGCCTTTAATGCAAATCATGGTATAAGAATCTGGAAGCTAAAAATTGCAGGCTTCTCATAGTATCTTTTATTAACTTTTTGAGATGATGTCAAATATTAACAAAGAAACTCCATAAAGAAATTATCTTGCCTTACAGTAATTTATCTCCAGCAATGTTTATGGGATAGTACATGTATTACTAAATCGCAATGGAACTGATTTGGTTAGGGCATTTTAGTCTTTTTACGTCAAACATGTTGACACTGGAGGACTTGTGATTGCATAAATCGGAAGGACTTTTGCGTAATAAATTTGCTGGTCACGTATTTATGAGCAATCTTTCCTTAATAAAATCAATTCCGAATTAACAAATTCAATCTAACAGTTCTCAAATTCAATGATTTTTACCAAGTGAAGATATTATGATGTTTCCAGAATACACACACACACACTCTCTCTCTCTCTCTCTTAACCTTTTTTTTATTTTGGTTATCCTATTTGTAAGTTATATTATAAAATTTTTATCAACAAATTTTTCTTTTTACCTGTTATTGAATTCTAATGAGAGAAAGTAGAGTTGGTTTCTCACAATATGGCGAATCAAATTTCAAATTCTCATTAAAAGAAGTGCTCATATTTAATTCCCGGCAGTGCCTTGAATGGGATTACCTCTAATAGAAAGATACATGCGCTCAAGCTAATTTGAAAGCGAGGGGATCAAACACTGAATCTGAAGTGGTAGTGTTGATGATAGAAGCCAAATACTAAATAATTACCATCCAAAAAATTTTGGTTGTCCAAATTTCAAAGTCGTATATTATTAAAGTTGCTTACTCTGCAAACTACATGCACATGGGGATGGCCTTAATTTTCGAGTTTGTGCTTCAAGAAAACGCGTCCATTGCATGAACCAAGTGGGATTCAATTACTCATCACCTAACTAGAAATTGTTGCTTCATTATAAATTAGCAGTGTAATGAACAAGTATTCAACTATTCTTTCTCAGAAACTAGGGTTTCTTAATTAATGTGAAATGTTTAGTGGACTCGGCCAAATATTCATACGCTTGTACGGTTGATTAATAAAACACTATATAGACTAATTATTTCCCTCTTGTCATGCCTGAGCCGCCACGTATATATGTCAACTCATAGATTCAATCAATATCTGCTGATTAATTGAATAATCACTCCTTTGATTTACAACTCTATCCTGATCAGAGCATAACCTGTGTGCATTCTTGCTTATGGCCTTCTCCATGAATCAGTATTTTTTTTCTTGGGTCTGAATTTTACGCTCTTTATTTTGGTCATAAATTAATATTCACTCTATATATATCAGACGTAAATCCCAGAAATATAATAAAATTTATAAATTATCGTGAAATATCTTACTTTTTATAATAAATAACAAGTTGGAAGCTAAGAATATAATTAGTAGAGAATTAATCCAAAATTTATATTCATATATAATATAGGACCTAATATTTATCAATTCGTGTGATATGTAAAATTAAATGTCTAAATCTTGACACGAATAGTTGAAGATTATTTTTCATAAAATATAAATTTTTTTCCGAATATTTATTTAAATTTCGGGGATGTTTCAACACAATTTTGGTTTTGGATTCGAAAATTTGATTCCTGATATTTCAAAAATTCCGAGCAGAAAAAATTTTCCTTACTTGTTTTGGGACTTTCTAAAAAATTTCTGGCATAAAATAAATTCAAAATATTTTTATTTACTATTATTTTTCAGTTAATTTTGTTCTCAAAATCACTATTGGGAACTCGCGTTCCTATATTATCATATGTATTGTTGTCGTCATTGTTGGCTTTATTTTATTTAGCCGACACATATCCTTCATCACACTCCTCCATATATTCAACCAAACCCCACTATATATATATATATATATATATATTCAGCAAATGAATGAAATGTGTAACACAATAAATTCCTAATTTCAAACACAAAGGCACGCACATACAAAAGAACCGCATCAACACAAAATGTCATCAACCATTGTTAAAATTTTCTTTCCACTTGCCTTATTTTCTTCACTTTTCTCAATATCTTCTTCTTCTTCATCTATAGACTTTTGGTGCAACCAAACTCCATATCCTGAGCCATGCAAATACCACATGATGAGCCACAGCCACCACAAATTTGAACCAAGACATCGATCCGAGTTTAGGAAAATGCTGGTTCAATCAGCCATGGAACAAGCTCAAGTCATGCGCGAGCGAGCACAAAATTATGGCCCAAATTTTGTAACCACAACACAGAGATTTGTGTTCAATGATTGTTTAAAGCTCAACGACAACACCATCTTCCATCTAAACCAAACCCTTCTAGCCCTGCACACTAGTAATTCTTGCTCATCCTTATTAGATGCACAAACATGGCTCAGTACTGCACTTACAAACATCGAAACCTGCCGGAGCAGCACGTTGCAGCTAAGAGTCAGAGAGTTCACAGCTCAAAACAATGTGAGTGACAATGTTAGGAGGATGATAAGCAATGTGTTAGCAGTTAATAATGGTGATATTGTGATGATGAAGCAACAGAATAATAACACAGAGAAGAAAACATGTGGGTTTCCAAGTTGGTTTTCTAGGTGTAACAGAAGGTTATTGATAAGCTTGAAGCCATCATCTTTGAAGGCTAATATTGTGGTGGCTCAAGATGGTACGGGCCATTTTAAGACAGTTCAAGCCGCCATTGATGAAGCATCAAGGAGAACAGTGAAGACGAGGTTTGTGATACGTGTGAAGAGAGGGATTTATGAAGAGAATATTGAAGTTGATAAGGATAATGAAAATCTCATGATTGTTGGAGATGGAATGAATGTTACCATTATAACTAATAATAGAAGCGTTAAAGATGGTATTACCCCTTCTATGTCTGCAACAGCAGGTTAGTCATCATTTACTTAATTGTTCTAGATTTTTCTTTGAAATTTAAGTTAAACTTTCTCGTTGAGTATTTATCTAACATGTCTTGCGAAGATATCATTAAAGAAGTTTTTGTCCCCCTTGAAAGATTCAATTTTAATGAATGAGCTTGAGGAATAGGTCAAACTACTATGAAATAATGAAACTTTTTCCAGTATCTCAAGTTTATTTCAATTATTAATTTAATCTTTTAAATTTAATTTTTAACAAATTAGTCCCTATGCTCTTTTAAATTATCATATGAGTTCTTTAAGTTTTGAAATATGAATTGACTCTAAAATTAATCTAATTTGTGAAGTATATTAAAGACTTGGCATATACATGTAGTTAAATAAAAGCAAATAAACTCTTATGCTGTGTTTTATTCTTACACTTTTTTTATTAATTTATATGATTGCATCTATATTTTATTATCTATGTCAATAGAATTTAACAATGTTACCTCATTTTTAATTAATAAGAATAACCAAACCAATGTAAACTTAAGGGACCAAATCAATGATGGAAATAAATTTGATGGACTAAAAGTTAAATTATATTTACTATTTATGAATTGTAAATGGTGCCACTTGTTATTGATGTTAGAGAAAATGATAATAAAATCCCTCTGAAATATATAAATAATAATTTAATCTTTCAAAATGCCATAATTCTCCTGAAGTCCTTAAAGACTTTTCTTTTATTAATAAATTTATATAAATTATCAAATTTTTTTGTTGGAAATAAATGATTCACAAGTTTTGTTTAAATATTCACAATTTTTCTTCCTATATTCGCAACAATTCAATAGCAAATTACAACTTTGCATGTTAAATTCCTTATTTCCTGTTGCATTATTATGAATATAAGAAGAAAATTTTGAATATTTAAATAAAATTTGTGAATTTATTTTCAACAAAGGTAATTTGATAATTTATACAAATTCATTAATGATAGAAAAGTCTCTAGAGACATCAAGAAAATTATGGCATTTTAAGAAACTAAATTGTCATCTATATATTTTAGAGGGATTTTATTATCATTTTTCCTTGGTGGTCTTAGTGTGTGTGTATTGATATATCGAGATATTGAAGAAGTTACACACATTCATACATATATACATATCTCTCTCTCTCTCTCTCTCTCTCTCTCTCTCTCTGTGTGTGTGTGTGTGTGTGTGTGTGTTGAGTAGCTTATTTTTTAACATGATTAAAATTTCAGGGATAGATGGTGCGCATTTCATTGCACAAGATGTGTGTGTTGAGTAGCTTATTTTTTCACATGATTAAAATTTCAGGAATAGATGGTGCGCATTTCATTGCACAAGATATTACTTTTAGAAACACTGCTGGTCCTGAGAAAGGCCAAGCCGTGGCACTCCGATCAGCCTCCGATCTCTCAGTCTTCTACAGGTGCTCCATCGAAGGCTATCAAGACACACTAATGGCTCATGCACAGCGCCAATTCTACAGAGACTGTCGAATTTTCGGCACTGTGGATTTCATTTGGGGCAATGCTGCAGCTGTTTTTCAAAACTGCATCATTCTCGTCAGAAGGCCACTTCAAGGGCAAGCAAACATGATTACGGCTCAAGGACGAGGCGACCCGTTTCAAAACACCGGAATATCAATCATCAATTCTCAGATTCGAGCCGCACCGGATCTCAGACCGGTTGTAGACTCGTATCAAACCTATTTGGGTAGGCCATGGCAGCAATATGCTAGAGTGGTGGTGATGAAAAGTTACATTGAAGGTTTGGTGAATCCATTGGGTTGGTCTCCGTGGGGAGATAGTGATTTTGGTCAAGACACGTGTTATTTTGGGGAATATATGAACAATGGGGCTGGTTCATCAACACAAAGTAGGGTTCAATGGCCTGGGTTTCATGTGATGACAAGCCAAAATGAGGCACAACAATTTACTGTTGCTGGACTTCTTGCTGGTAACATATGGTTGCCTCAAGCTGGTGTGCCTTTTGATATTGGTATTTAAATAACTTTGTTGTTTATTTATATGGAATTGATTTGTATTGTTATTTGTCTATAATCATGCATGTAAGAGATCAATTATTTGGTTCTTCATTGCACAATCCCTTTGTACCTTATTATATGTACAACCGTTCGCTATGTTCCTTTATAGAAGACCTTTTTTTCCCTAAGTGTTAATGTTTTTCCTAAATGTCATTTATTTAGAAATTTCCTAACTAATTAACAAATTAATGTTGAGTTAGATTGAAATTTTAAAAGCATTAACTAACTTTTACTGAATTACTTAATTTATGTAAAATTCTTAATTCTTAATAGATCCTTAGAATAGGGATAAGAGGAATTAGTAAATACATGCTGGATTCAATCATTAATGATTTATATATTGTCAAGTGCAGTTGGGGTAGCTAGCTCTCCCAAAAACGTTTTCTGCATTCACACAGACTCATTTAAAATCTTGTGCTCTTCCGGCCATAGGCATTTCCGAGGACTAATGCTGGTTGGTTTTGGTTCTTGTATCTTTTCTCCTTGTTCTCTTGAGAAATGAAATAAGAGTTTAGTTAATAATTGGATTAGATAATCGTGTGTGTGTGTGAAGAACATTCATATGAAATGTTGGATTTAACTCAAACATAGTTACGTTTAAAGCTACAACTGATGCAGATATAATAGAAGCTTAGACACATTTTCCATGATTGCAATATAAGTAGGGGATTTAAATTCAATGACTATACTTAATATAGGCACTAAATGCCTGCATTATCTAAATGGTCAAAATTCATATCAGTAGTTCTAAATTAATACTTTACTTAAGGTTAATGAATAAGTGGATTTATTTGAATCATTGATATAAATTTCAATTAATTGCTCAAATGATATGGACACTCAATGCCTAGAGTCATCGAATTCAAATCCTATAATTATGCCATTGTGCCTAAACCCTGTTTATTTTATATAGAAGCATTAATGGAAAGTTCCAATAATAGATATAGTGTCTGATCTATTCAATCATTTCTAAAATGTGTAATATGAAAATCATAATTGACTTAGGATAGGGAATACATTTTTCAATTTCAATTTATTAAAACAATGAAAGTAAGAAAATTGATATAAAAACAAATCCCTTGGATTATTAAGAAATTACCTCAAACAAATGGGTCAGCACGCGCAGTAGGGTTCATTTAAAAGTTCCACTATATTCTTATTACCCATTAATTATTTGGGATCAGATGATGGTGACGAGCAAATCAATATATAAAGGGCAATATTCTAGATGAAATAATCAATAATTCAATATAATATCAGATCTCTCTTGCAATGACTAAGCTACAAATATTCTAGGAAAAAATCTTGGCCATGGCTATGCATGATAAGGGCAATACGTCCAAATTACTCGATCCTCATGAACTTTCTACTAAACATATCAACGAATAAAATATGTAAAAATACATTCAGACGCACTCATTTTTGTGTTATTGATATCTTACATGGGTTATTAATAATTTTGCCCTTAAACTGTAGGTTCAATTGCAAATATAACTCTAAACTTGATTTTGATACAATATTCTCTTTTAACTTTTGAAAATATGCAATGATACCATTTATTATTAATAAAAGTTAACTTTGATTATTAATTGATCAGAAAATAATCTCAAAAATTACAAAAAAAAGACCAAACATAATTTCGTGATCCTTTTTTATAATTTTTTGGGTCTTTGTTTATAATTTTTGAGTCATTTTATGTAATTTTGTTAGTCATTTTTTAATCAACTAATAGTCAAAGTTAATTTTTATTAACTTTATAGGCTACATTACACTGTTTTACTCTAAAAATGAGTTTAAGGTCCCAAAATACTCTTGAATTTATAATTTATGTGCCAAATTGCCCTTTAACCTTATCTTACACACATGCAAAATGTCAAAGAGACCCTTATGGTTCTACCTTCAACTTAGATTATTCAGAGTCTAATATAGCTTCCAGATACCAAGTGCTTTGATCAAATTAAAAAAAAACTATTTAATAGAGGCCATCACAAACCTTCACATATTTGTCACCCACCCACCATATATATATATATATATATATGTATATATATATTTCATCTATTCAAAAATATAAGGCATTTTTTTAGTCTTTCAAAGTATAATCATTGCCTTTTTTGTCAAAAGCACCCCTATTGAATAAATCACTTTATATTTATTATAGGGTAAAATACCATATCGAATAAAGGTAAATGTCGAAAGATAGGGTTAATTTGAAAGCAAGTAACTACTTTATTAGAGGTGAGATTCAATTAAACATGTCTTACATTTTTTTAATAAAGGGAGTATATATTATGTGCATCTTGAATCTTGATTGAATAATATAGTTATGTTAATTTGTTGCTTCTTTTAAAAAAGTATGTTTTTATTACAAATCTTTTTGTCAAATCATACATAGGACTTACAGCTATTAATTTGAGTCAAACCCAACAAGCCATCGTGAAATATAAGTTCAAAAATGTTTAGGGTTAGATTTGGGAGTTTAGAATTTTTTTTTTACTTCAACCTTCAAAAAGCTTGAAGAAATCCAAGTTAAGCCTGAACTTAAATGGATTTAGCTGAATAGTTGAATTTTTTTTTATTAATAAATTAAATTAAATTAGATAAAAATTAAGATCTTATTTTTTTAAGATAAAAAATGAAATTGCCTAAGAAAGAAAAATATAAATAATAAAACAATATTAAATAATTTAGGTACTCAAGCCAACTTGAAAGTTTGAGGTGTTAGGGCCAAGTTTGGTTATATATAAACCTTTTTTGGTGCAGGAATTTTAAATCTGATCTAAATAAGATGGTCCACCTGAATTATTGACTCTAATAAAACTTAATTAAGAAGTTTCTTTTGCCATTACGAGGTACAGATTTTTTTCAACCTTCCCCAAGAAATAAAAAACTACGAAACCAATAACATTAGGAGATATCACAAAAATAACATTAAAAAATGCATACAGCTGACCTCTGCATGCACATGGGGGATGAACCTAATTTCTCTTACTCGCTTCAACAAAACGCAAAATCGGATTTGGTTTCTTTCATTATGCAAACGGATTACACGCCCATTGTATTTTAAGATGAGAATTAAAAAGATCATCCTTCATCTGATGAAGTCCAAGCTAATTGGATGGTTCAGGTTCAATTTAATTTTATTAATTCTTTTATTTAATACTTTTTATTTTAATACATGCAGTAGTATGTAACGTAAACATATTTTTTACGGTTTAAAGAAGGTAAAATGACATAAAAATCCCCCTGAAATATACAAAGGATAATGAGGTCCTATAAAATGTTATAAGTATTCTTAAGTCCCTGAGAACCTTTTTGATATAAATGATTTTTGGTAAAAAGACTACAAAAAGTCCTTGGAATGTCATAATTGCTTGTTCTATTCTTATCACTTCTAAAAGAAAAGTAATTATTACTTAAACTAAATAAATCATTGAATTTACTTTTTTTGGGAGGCAAGAGTTGTTAATGTTTTTTATTTTAAACTGGGGTATTTTAGTAATTCCATCAAAAATTATCAATATAAGAAAGATCCCCATGGAATTGAGAAGAACTATAGTATTTCATAGGACCACATTTTCATTTGCATATTTCATGGGATTTTTCTATCATTTTCTCTTTTGAGGAATATATCATGGTGAATATAAGGAGTTATTTCCCTCTTTTTATCACAATCTTGGTATATAATATGTTACGTTTAGTTTAATTATTTACTCTGTTGTAAATAATTATTTCGTTTGATACTTTTTAGTGTGTCTTTAGTTGTTTATTTTGTTTACGTACGTTGCCATGGCAAGTTGATATAGTAGGATATTCTCATAAAAATTTAGAACTAATAGGGACTTGCCACGGCTGTTACCACAGCAATTTTCTTTGTTAAAACGCATAGCATTGTTTTTTAGCCAAATAAAAGAGTGAAAGTTAGGGTTACTCAACGACTACCAGCTGTCAACCTGTCTGGTAGAGAGATACGTTCTTTTAAATGGGGAAACTGCTGAAACATAAATTAATTAAGGGTTTGAGGGAAATTTGCCCTCAAACAACCTATTTGGGGGGAAATAGATAATATATTAAACTCTTTATTATAATAATGTTATCTCTAAAGCAAGGAGCAATCTTCAGTGCTCATCAGGCAGCCTAATAAGATCTGGACCATCCAGATCAAATTTAAAGTTTTAAATTTGTATTTTTATTTCATATTTACTAAAATAAAAAATTTATAAAAATTATGAAAAATTTACAAAAATTGTTTATCAGGAACTGATAGTCTAGATTTAATTTAAATTATCCAATTTTAATATTAAAATTTTTTATAATTTTAGAAATTGACTATCTGGATTTACTTTTGATAGTCTAGATTTAAAATTGAACCAATATTTTTTTATAAAAAAGTACCAGCTAAGATATTATATTTATTTTAAATATTTTATTTATTAAAATAAAAAAATTAATTTTAAATCTAGACTTTCTAGAACATCTGAATAGTTAATTTATAAAAATTATAAAAATATTAAAATTAAATTGAACTATCATATTAAATCTGCAATATTGTCTCGATGGATGATACACTATATGTTAAAAGAATTTTCAAATTACCAACAAACGTTGGCTAAGATGGAAAGGAATCTATTAGAATTCCCTTAAATATCAACTCTTGGGTTTGATCTCTAGGGGATAGGAATGGAAAAAATGCTTTTAAGAGAGCTTCCCTTGTCTATGGTCCGACCTGGCTCAAATTTGGATTAGTAAAGGTTGTCGGCTTCAAACACCAAATGGTGAAAAAAAATTAAATTTCTTTAATAAATGTAAAGAAAATTTAAAAATATAGACCATCCAGATCTCATCAACATGATGAGTACTGAAAGATGGACCAACGGTGGATCTAACTAGTGGGAACCAAAAGTTGGTACAGGTGGCAGGAATGGAAATGACTCCCCCTCCCCCACCCCTCTATCTCTATCTCCCTCAAAACAAACTCAGAATTTCATTCTCGTCGTCTCTCATCAGCATACACCATTTCTTTGCCTTCCCTAGCTAGTTCCTAAATCTTTAATGAAGTAGTTTCTTGCAACCATCAACGATTCAAGGGAATGGCAGAATTGA